TGGGGCCGGGCGATCTGTCACGGGTGCAGGTGGCCTTTCTGGTTTTAGCCTGCACTTCGAGTCTGCTCCTGCGAGGCTGCTGGGCTCCTGCTGCCTTTTGCCTGTTTTTCCCTCCCTCTCTTTGCTGGATGGTCTCCAGAGCTGGCTTGGTCTCTCCGGGGTACCGCAAGGCGTGGAGCAGCTGATGGTAAAGCAGGAACCAGAGCAAATTGTGACCCAGAAGACCCGCTCTGCATATAAACCAGCAGCTCTTCTCTGCTGGCAAACAGTTACGTGTGGGATTTATAGGCCATGGGAGGAGGTGGAGGAACAAGCAGGCTGTAATTCACAGCAGAGCTGCCGGCGCGTTGGCACGGATGCACTGGGATCGCAGCCCTCCAGCAGCTGCGGAGCCAGCGAGGAATGGCCTCCCCTGCCCGGCCTTGGGGTCCGCGACGCGGTCGGGGCACCGGGCTCGGCAGGGATGCTCCTGGCTGGTCTCCAGCGCAGGGAAAGGGGGGCAGTGCTCACCGATACGAAAGCACACAGAGGCAGCTGCTCTGCTAGCACTGGCGAAGCTTCCCAAGGTCACTGCATACCAGCACGGCTGTGCTGGCCACCAGGACCCCGTAACCACATTAGGGAGCTGCTCTAGGTCCCAACCAACAGCTCGAACCGGCTGAGGAGCCAGGGCTCGGCCAGAGCCAAGGGGAGCAGAAGGTCCATGTGGTGCTGCCACCAGTCAGCGAGAGCCCACAGGCACCACGTGCTGGGCCAGCAGCCACGGTCCCTGGCTTTTGTTTTGTTTTCCAGCAGCTATTTGTTCTTTTCTTCTCTAAGCACCAGCAGTCTCCCTTTTGCTCAGAAACAGTAATGTTCTCCAAGCTTATCAGTCAGGGATGCTCTTGCCTAATGCCCCAGCCCATTTTCTCCATCTGACAAGGAAGCTGCTTATGCCGAGCTGCTGTTTACCTTCCTGCTAGCTTCCTCACAACAGCATTATTAAACTAAACAGCCATGTCCCTGAGCAAACACCGCTAACCCCACAGGGCCCTCCCAGCACGATCCCAGCTCCCTGCTCCCGTGGCACGGCGCAGAGCTGCCCCTGTCCTCTGTGGGTGGCAGGGACGCTGCCTTAGTGCCCTCGCCCTCCACAGGACCCAGGCACACAGGGGAAGTTCTTCAGAGTCTGGAAATATTCCAAGCATTCAAATGGAAAAAAATTCCTAAGAGATTTATTAAGAGTTTGCATGGATCATATGATATGCATGATAATGTCTAATTAAAGGAAACTTGGCATGGAAATCCACTTGGCCTGGGGGAGAGCAGAGGAGAGGGCAAGATGTCCAGCATGGAAAATACTTGTGTCATCCCTCAAGAAAAGACCAGAACAGCAGTGACAAAGCGACGACAGCTCAGGTGCAAGAGGGAGGAGTAAGATATTTGCTGCCCCCGATGAAAGAAGGGGCCGTGAACGCCGGGAGCAAACCTCTCCCGGGCTACAGTGAATCCTGCCATGAGCCAGAGCCCCAGGAAAAGCCAGGGCTCTCCAGCTTTCCAAGGACAGCAAGCCTTCATTCCACGGTCATATCTTTATTTAGATGAAAAACATGCAACGGTTTTAATCCCCAAAAAAAGCTTTCCTAAGGCCGGCAAAGTTAACCCTGAAACTTCACAGCAGGAGAGCCCCATGCAGCTACAGGCAACTCCAGCTCCTTATCCACACGGGAAAGGGACTGAACTTGCCACCAACAAAGTTGCTTTAAAACTCCTGGATAACAGTTCAGTTTCACATCCTGGGGCAGGAGAGAGAAGGACTTTTAGCGAGCACATTTAGAGAGCTTAATAAAATTCATAGAAATATTGGCGGTTCTGCTGTGCTGCGCCAAGAATGCGTTGGAATAAAACCTCGTGAGCAGAAGGGAGAGATAATGTCATCTTAGCCTTGCTATGAGAGATCAGCCTTCACCTTCTGACACGTATCTCAAGGAGTGGGACTCAGACACGTTTCCTCGCCTTCCCACCAGAGCAGGTCACGGCACCACCTTGCTCACGCAATTTATCACTGTCACATCCTTGTACGAATGGTATCGGGATGACCCTGACCGGCAAAGAAGTGGTAGGGTAAGGCAATAAAAGAGGGAGAGCTTGTTTCTTACAGGGATTTTAATGACATCTCAGTGCAACACAGAGCAGCTCAGTTTTGTCCACAGGAAAGCTACGGGAAGTTAATTTAGTTTTCTTTAAAAGGACACCCTTCTGCTTCCCCCAAATCCCATGAACGGCCACGTCCAGCCTCGCAGCCTCTCCCCCAGCACGAGCTTCTCGGGGGCTGCCCCCCCAGACTCCCTGGCCTCAGTGCCCCCCTTTCCCTCTTTCGGGACACGCTGTGCCCTGGGGCCTCATG